ATTTTTACGACGCCTTAAGTTAAAGTCATCCAAGATGTGCGTCATAGAAACACCACAACGAATTTCCGCCTGCTCAATGGCGTCTGGCCAAAATGGCCGAGTTGAGGCCATGTTGTGTTCAAGGCAAAACAAAATATGACCATCGACTTATTCGTGACTGAGGCACATCAGCACGAACCGTGCCAGCAACGGATATCAGTCGGCTTTCAGCCAGTTTAGTATGTTATGTGCAAGTCTCGAACACGAACCGCGTTTTGTGATACACAATATAGGCATTTTGGCAGTTCCACTAGTCAGGACTGAAGTGAGACGGGGAATCGTGCAATTTTAGAATAGAACTAATTGGGAATGCAATTGCCAGTAGAAAGCATGCCGTCACGAACAAATATGTCTGAACACCTCGAGAAAGGACCAAGACGTGCACACGTGACTATCGTGGGCTTAGCTTACACGCATTAAAACCAACCCACCTCCCGGTGAGTTGGTGTAAGTGATTCAGCCCGTCCGCTTCAATGTCTGCTGACTCGGCCAGTCTGGCAGCAACTCTGACCCCCATAAAAACTACCATGACATCGAACAACGACGCATTGAGGACCATATGAACTTAAAAGTGAAATTGTATTGTCTAGAACAGTCATTTGCACTGGAACGCATGCGAATCTTAGCAAGTAAGTTTTTCCATCATATCTGATGTTTATCTCAGTTTCTTAAACCGTGGAACATTCTCTTTAAAACTTGTATGTGTGGGTTCATGCGTCTGTGCCTGGGGAATGTTGGCGTGGTCTTTGTTTGCTTCGCTGATGTTCTTGGTCTGGGGTTCGTCTTGGTCTTGCGTTCTAGCCCCTTCCATGCCACCACCGCATGCCACATGACGCCTAAAACAGACTTACGCTTCGAATTGGGCCGGGCGGTCGGTCAGACATAAAGCCTCAATCATTATTATAGCCATTAGCTGATGCCCTGCGTCATGCAGCTTAAGATGATATCGGTCGAGTTCTGAATCAACGGCGTGTTCGAAAGCACATTGAAGGCTGCTGCAACGCCTCGAAGCATTCCAGCAGCGGAGAGCGAGCTCACGTCGTGCGCCTGCCCGCCTGACAGGGAGGACATGTACGCCCAGGAGAGCATCGACCTCCTGCAGAAGTCGGGCATCCAGTTCCCGGTGCACGACGACGAGGGCATCGAGCCGTTCGAGTTCGCCGAGCTCATCACCACCTCGGGCGTCGTGCTCATGGATGACGTCAAGTGGATCTCCTTTCACAGGTACCGCTTCGGCGTTCAGCCTCCCCCCACGCCACACGTCCCCCATTCATTGTCGGTTCTGTGTGATTGCTGTCTAGCTTATGCGGCGGTGCCCCGTCAACCGCCAATTTAAGGTGTTAAATGCACTGCACACCAAGTCTCCGTTAAATGTTGTGAGCATCAATGCGCGTACTGAAGCACAACGTGACGCTGCTATATGTTATGCATTCTTATGAATGAATGATGCCTTGCTCAGTTTGGATGGCCTTTCGACCATCGTACCCTGTTGTGGATTTTTGTTCGCAACGCTGGTCACGTGTAACGTGTTTCAGCGGTTATGACTTCGGATATCTTTTAAAAATTCTAACAAATCAAAACCTTCCTCAAGAGGAATCTGAATTCTTTGAACTACTACGGATGTACTTCCCCACCATGTATGATGTCAAGTACCTCATGAAGTCCTGCAAAAACTTGAAAGGAGGTCTGCAAGAGGTAAGCAGGGCTGGATAAGGTTCCAGCTGTCTAATCTGTAGTACTGAGAGTGTGAGATGCTGGGAGGTGTGCAGCCCAATGTAACGTGACGGCGTGATTCACTGTTGGCCAGCTGTAATGTAAGGCCATGTGCTGACGTGTGTCGGTACTCCCGCTCCATGTCCGGATGTCAGGCAGCCATGTGGCGTGGCGTGACGCCATGTGTCAGGTTGCCAGGCACCCATGTGGCGTGGCGTGACGCCATGTGTCAGGTTGCCAGGCATCCTTGTGGCTGGGCGTCGGGTGCTGATAGATGTTGGCACGGTGTGGGATGTCGACGCCGTGTGCTTGCGCGTCCATGAATGAGAGCGTTTGGCGTGGGCTGCTGACCTTTTGTGTTGGGGCGTCTGGTATGTCCCTGGCGTTGTATAGGGTGCTTACAGCATGTGCACTGATGTTTAGTGTTCATGTGGCCTTGTGTGGGAAACTACTACTGACGTTTGTGCCTGGATACATGGTATGGTGTCCATGTGTCCTGGTTTGGGGTGCTGATTCTGTGTGTCCGAATGCTAAGCATCCCTGTGACCTGGTGTGAGACACTGACACCCTGCGCCCTGACATGGGGCATCCCTGTGCCCTGGTGTGGGTTACTGACACCTTGTGCCCTGATATTGGGCATCCCTGTGACCTGGTGTGGGGTACTGACTCCGTGCGCCCTGTTAATGGGCATTCCTGTCACCTGGTGTGGATTACTGACGCCGCGCGCCCTGATATTGGGCATCCCTGTGATCTGGTGTGGGTTACTGACACCTTGTGCCCTGATATTGGGCATCCCTGTGATCTGGTGTGGGTTACTGACACCTTGTGCCCTGATATTGGGCATCCCTGTGACCTGGTGTGTGGCACTGACACCCTGCGCCCTGATATTGGGCATCCCTGTGATCTGGTGTGTGTTACTGACGCCGTGCGCCCTGATATTGGGCATCCCTGTGCCCTGGTGTGGGGTACTGACGCCGTGCGCCCTGATATTGGGCGTCCCTGTGATCTGGTGTGGGTTACTGACACCTTGTGCCCTGATATTGGGCATCCCTGTGACCTGGTGTGGGCTACTGACACCTTGCGCCCTGATATTGGGCATCCCTGTGATCTGGTGTGTGTTACTGACGCCGTGCGCCCTGATATTGGGCATCCCTGTGATCTGGTGTGAGACACTGACACCTTGTGCCCCGACATGGGGCATCCCTGTGCCCTGGTGTGCGTTAATGACACCTTGTGCCCTGATATTGGGCATCCCTGTGCCCTGGTGTGGGGCACTGACGCCGTGCGCCCTGACATGGGGCATCCCTGTGCCCTGGTGTGGGGTACTGACGCCGTCTCCGTGTGCCCCGACGGCGGCAGCTGGCGGAGCAGCTGGAGCTGGAGAGGGTAGGGCCACAGCACCAGGCTGGCAGCGATAGCCTCCTCACCGGCGCTGCCTTCTTCAAGATGAGGGAGGTAAGTCCCAGCGTGCGCAACCGCCACTCTGTCCAGCAGATAGAGTTGGAGCCACGGAAGGCGGTGCTATTGGGCACCGATTTCAGGCCCTACCAATCTTTTTGTTTCAGAGTGTGCCTGCCAGAATAAATTTTTGAAAGGCAGCTGGCTAAGTACACTTGAGCTGGCGTGTGGTGACTGTGTTTTAGTGTTATCACCTCACGGGACATCGCATTCTGTCATTGCCGCGCGCCAGTTTTGCCGTAACACGATACGGAAGTATAGCGCTATTGGCTCTAGGACCAAACTAAATTTTGTGCTCGCACCGAAAGCTGAAAACAGTGAGGTGTTGGGCTTGGGGTATACGTAGACACGTGGCTTAGCATTTATCCTTGACCAGAAACTATCCGTGCAATTCGCTACGAAAAGGCTCCTATGAAAGTGCGTGCGACGCGCTCTTTTGAACGAAGTCCGTCCCTTCGGGTATGCATTGTGTAATGGGTGGCGAGCTAGTTAAAAGTAGTCGAGTGTCATCGCGTTAGATACCATCATAACGTAGGAGGATGTACCTGAAGCCATTCGTGACTAGATAACTAATAATATGCGTTGTGTGGTGATAATAGGCAAGTGCCACCACATTCGATAAAAGCGTTCTTTATAGTCATAGCTAAACCGCATGAGGAAAAGACGCGACATTAGTCCTATGTAAATAAGTCACATTTGTTATTGGCAATGTCAAGCTTTTGCGGGCGGCAGGCGTCGTATTTCCCCCTTCCCCTTGTTTCCTCTCCTTTCCCCGCTCTCTTTGACCCATGGGTATAAACGCTAGGAGCGTTTGCGAAAATGTCCCGCCAATTTGCAAAAGTGGAATCTGGTCTCTGATTCTGTCCGTTCAATTCACATTTTCTCATTCAAAAATATTAATTAAGGTCCAGTTATTTTCATCTCCAGATTCTGGCTTGACCCACTCATCCCGACTTGCCCCCTCCCAAAAAAGATTCATCAGAGATGTGGTAACACCCATGCCTGCACTAATCTTTTCGCCTTTCCTCTCACCTGTCCTTCGATACCACTCGCCCTCTCCGTGACCCGTCCGTACCAGACCCAGCGCTCTGCGACCCGTCCGTACCAGACCCAGCGCTCCGCGACCCGTCCGCACCAGACCCAGTGTATTGCGACCCGTCCGTACCAGACCCAGCGCTCCGTGACGCCCTCCGCCCGCCGCAGATGTTCTTCGAGGACAACATCGATGACGCCAAGTACGGCGGACACCTGTACGGTCTGGGCACGCCGTACCTGGCCAACGGCGGCGGCTCGCAGGAGTCGGCCGGCGAGCCCACCACGTCCGCCTAGAGCGGCCGGCCCGCGGCGTCGGCCGCTGCGGGTCAGCACCGTTGGCGCGGCGACGGCGGCCGGGCTGGTGCAGGCGACGCCCGCCAGCGCCGCCGGCCGGCTGGAGCCGTGCTGCAGCGTCGCGCCCCGGTGCGGAACACGAGGGTGTCGGGCCTCGGCTGGGTTTTATGTGCGCGGTTCATGCGTGTTGGCGTGTGCTAATCCTTACACTGCTCCCACTGAGGACCGCGTCCCGTTTTGACAGGCACAGCGTTTTGACTGTGTGCAGATACGTGGCCTGCTAATGCCATGCGTATGTCGATCTTGATAACATATCCTCGTTGGTGAACATGCTCACCGTGGGCCCTCTCTGTTTCAGCGCCTGAGGATCGCCTGAGCTCGCATACTCTGCTGTGATATAGATTCAAACGCTGATTTTATCCTTGTTTCTCATGACCAGCTGAACGCCTGTGTCTCGTGGCGGCGCCCATGTGAGTCTC